GCCACGCGCCGCGGCGCGGCCCGCGAGGCCGTTGCGCAGCGCCCTGCCTGTTCTGCTTTGTTATTAGCACTGTATTTTATGTGAAGGCGCTCGAAAGTTTTTCCGAAGGCGCCGCGGCTGTTTCGGGGGCGGCCGCGCAGTTTGCACCCCCGGGCCTCTGAACCCAAACGCTGCCGTGTGCACGTGGGGAGCGTGGGGAGCCCCAGCCACGGCAGAACCTGTGCAGGGTCCCCTGCGCTGCGGTGCTTGAGCATATATATATGTTTTTTTTTTCTCCTTTATTTCTCGTTTTGCACTTATACATAGGTAGGTGGGAATGTCAAGTGTGTGCATCAGGTGAATCTAAGTGCCCAGTCATTTCCGTACTTAAACCGCTTACTTTAAATGACAATAGAGTTTTTACCAGCCTGTGACATATAGCTGATTTTCTGAAAATCTGATTTGACCTCATTTTCGCAATTAAAGTGATCTTTGGATTTCACTGTGATCGCTCCCAACCACGTGTGTCCTAGATGCTAATGGAGTGCCAAGCTATCAGAAGAGCGAGTCCGCAATGCCTGAGGAGCAGGAACAACTGCTTGGTAGTGCAGTGAGTTATCGCCCTGTGACTTAGAGAAGGGCCTCAGGCATTATGCCTAGCTAGACATTTATTCTTATGCCTCCCTCCCTCCAGTTTAAATTCCATAACACAGGGAAGAAACAAATCTCCGTTCGTAGCTGGGGCCATTCTGCTTCTGTGCTGTTATTTCCATGATCCTAACTTTATTTCCACCAAGGTAAAGCAAAACCAAACAGAGGATATTGTGTCCTTCCTTCCTTCCTTCCTTCCTTCCGTCCTTCCTTCCTTCCTTCCTTCCTTCCGTCCTTCCTTCCTTCCTTCCTTCCTTCCGTCCTTCCTTCCTTCCTTCCTTCCTTCCGTCCTTCCTTCCTTCCTTCCTTCCTTCCGTCCTTCCTTCCTTCCTTCCTTCCTTCCGTCCTTCCTTCCTTCCTTCCTTCCTTCCGTCCTTCCTTCCTTCCTTCCTTCCTTCCGTCCTTCCTTCCTTCCTTCCTTCCTTCCGTCCTTCCTTCCTTCCTTCCTTCCTTCCGTCCTTCCTTCCTTCCTTCCTTCCTTTTCCTTCCTTCCCTCCCTCCCTCCCTCCCTTTCTATCCAATCTCAAATCAATATTTGTGGTTCCTTGCAGTATTGGATGTGCTCCCCTTACAAGCAACCTCCTCACTGTTTAGAAAGCTTCATTTTGGTTTAAAAACCCACTGGAAGCTGAAGAAGTGAATAACAAAAAATCCAAATGGCAAGCAGAGACAGCAGAAAATTGAGTTTTAACAACTTGAGTCAACTGTTAATCCCCAGGACAGGTACAGATATAGATTCCTTAACACTTTTTTTGCCTTAAAAATGCTTCTATAGATTACTGTAAAACTAGAAGAAAGTCTCATATCTTAGTATTTCATAAGCTCTGTGGCTCCAATTCAGGCTGAATTAGGATCTGAATCCCTGTGTGAATCCCTGTTGGCAGAACTATGCCAGCACACTTATGCTCGCCAACTCTTCTTATAGTTGGGAGGGAGGAGAGGGAAGGGGTAGGAGGAAGGGAATAGCATGTGCTGGCATAATCTGTAGTAGTAGAAAGAGTAAAATGGGCTTTATGACTGTGCAGTTTCACCTATTTGAATAAAAATAGAAATGTAGACTATTCAAGAAAGGATGGCGTTCCTATCTTGATAAAAACATGGTATAGTTCTGGTAAAAACAACAACCAAACTAACTCCCCAAACCAATCCCCTCTTCTCCCTGTCCTAGTTAAAAATTTGTTCTTTGAAATCTGCACTTTCATTTTCTTTTTTTCTAAACATTGCTCAGGGCAACATTGTGAATCTTACATTAAAACACATAACCAGAAAATTCACCCTTCAAAGAGAAGAAGCCAAAATGATGGTGCTAGAAGTGAATATTTGTTTCTTGGGTGCTCAGAGAAGCATTTTCAGGAATTTGGGTAACTTCAAATATGAGTGGAGAAAATAGAAAACAACTCTCATGAAGCACTGTGTCAGTCCCCACTGGGCTCCTTTGCCCTCTAACCATCTGTGGGATGGAGGCTGTGGGACTTGGGGTTGGATTGGAAACAAAAATTTTGTGCATGGTATTTTCCATATGTAGTTTTGAGTATAGTCAAAAGCATTTGACTTCGTGGAGTGGCTTCTTGACTTCCAAGGAGTGAGTGCAGAGGATTTGTTATTATTTGCACGCCTCTCTCGATTTATGCAAATGCAAAATGTGGAGGGCCATGGAAGACTATTGACTCAGGCTTTACAAACATTTATATGTGGCTGCAAATCCTGGCCTTGCAGATGTCTGTGCCAAAGCATTTTGGCAGGCTGCCAACATTGTCCTGCAGCATGTAAATGAGAGATGGAAAGCAGATGGATTATGAAATGTTTTAAAAATTACTAAACCTGAACAAAATTTGATAGGACTAGAAAAAAAGAGAAAAAGGCACATGGTCATCCAGATGGTGCTCCCAAGCTTCTAAGAACTATTGCAAATAGTGAGGTTCTTAAAAAGGAAAACACATTCCCCCAAGCAACCAAACAAAATGAGAAGACATGAGAATCCCGTAATGGAAATGTGGACAATATCAGCAGAGTCAGTATCTACTCCCTTTGTAATAAAATCTTGTTTTATTGTTTGTACTAAGCAGTACTTGAAGCCTATTTTGCTATTAGGCAGAGTCAATATAGTCTTTACAAACAGACTTTCACATTCGGGAGTTATTAACACCCACTCTACTGAGATGTAACTTAAACCCAAAAGAGATGAAGATGACATGCGCTAAAGGTGTTATCTGGGCCCCCTTTTTTGACTTATACCTTTTTCTTTTTCCTTGATATTCTTGTGGTTTAGAGGTCCAAGCGAGTTTGTATATAATAGATGTGAAGTAATATCATATGGTGTATTTGATAGCATTTCGGACATTCTCTCACTAGGGAATGTGTTCTGCAAGCTGATTGTAAAACTGAAATCTGAAGGCATCTTACAACTTTATAGGAATGAGCTTGATTATACTGTGATCAAGAAGTTCAGAAGCAAAACGTCATTTTTTTCCTTTTGATATTTGAGTGGCTGGCTATGATTTAAAACTTCACAACAAGAACAACAACAACAAAACCCAAGATTTTGGTTATCTATCTGCTTAAACTGCTATGCTACAAGCATAGGTCTTTTGAGCTGAAGTGGGTTATGAAATGCTTGGAAAGCTGTTAAATTTGACATTAAAATGTAATGTCTTTTAAGTTAAGATCTCAGTAGATGTTCATTTTGGAGGAGATTTTGGAAGAATCCTGCCAGGTGTCATGATACACATTTGAATTTGAAGGCAGACACCCAGACTACCATACATAGTGCTTGGACCACACTCAGAAGTGTCTGGACTCAGCTTCAGCCTCTTACCTCAGGAAGGGATTGTACAAAATTTATGCCCTGTGTAGAAGAAATACCAGGCTGGACATTGCCTTCAGGTTGGTGGTCCTTCAGTCTACATCATTTTATCTCAGTCAATGAGGGCTGAGTCAAAGGTGGTCCGATCTGGTTGAGTATCTGTAGGAAAAGGCTTCCAGCTCACTTTATGCTCTGATGTTATTCTACGCAGTCCTAAGAGTTATGCTAGCTTTGGTCAAGGCAAGTGCGTGATTTTTTTCTTCTCGTTTTACCTTCCCATCCTTGCCAGCCTTGGAAGGGACCAGCAGCACACACCTGCCCTGAGAGCATGGCA